GAAGGGTGATAAGCACAAAGCAGTTAACACATTTATCAAAATACCAATGACAAATCTCTCCAAAGCATTTGGAAAAGAAGTCTTTTTAGAGACTCATCACAACTGTCCATATCACAAGCAAGCTGAACTACAAAAAGCCCCGGAAAAATCACTTCCTTACAAAATATCCCGCTTAAAACAGGAACTGTATGACGACAACTGTCACATTTTACAATGTATTACAGTGGCTTGTGGGAGACAAGGGATATCTCTTCGTGGACACCGCGATGACAGTACGTCAAAAGATCCAAACAAGGGCAATTTCCATGCAATTGTATCTGTCATTGCAAATCATGACTCAAAAATGAAAACCCATTTAGAGTTTGGCATGAAAAATGCAAAGTAAACAAGTAAAACCGTCCAAAACGAACTCATCAGCACTTTGGCTGAATACATCCGAAAAGACGTTGTAGCACAAATTGAGACTGATCACGCTGTGTTCTCCATCATAGCCGATGAAGTCGACGAGGAGTATGCCAATGTAGAACTGTTAGCTTTGTGTTTGAGATATGTTGACATAAGAGACATGCAGATCAAAGAGTCTTTCTTTGACTATGTTCAGCTTGAACGTACCACCGGGGAACACATTTCTAATGCTATTCTGAAATCCCTGAAAGACAACGGAATAGATATATTACGCTGTCGTGGTCAAATTTTAATGATTGGGCTGCATGTATGTCATCAGAGGCTGTTGGTGTACAGGGTCGAATCAAAGAAAAATGTCCACAGGTATTGTACACACATTGTGCCATCCATGTCTTGAACCTAAGCATTGCAGCATCATGTAGACTTCCTGCTGTTAGGCACATGGTGGACAGTATAAACCAAGCGTTCATATTCTTTGATAAATCACCCAAGCGCCAGAGATTACTTGAGCGTGTATTATATTTGGATGAGACACGCGAATCAAAAAAGAACCCGTTTATTAGGCTTCTGTAAAACACGGTGGATTGAACGACATACCTGTTTTGGGGTTTTCTCAGAACTGTATCCTTATGTATGCACGGCCTTTGAGGCTGTCACAGACCCATCCAAGTATGAGGATGTTTATAAAGGTGAACACTGGAGCTTTGATAGAGAGACAAGAACAAAAGCCAATGGACTTTCCAAAGTTCTCAAAGACCCCCCACACATTATTGTATTTGTTGTTTCAAAACACTCCATGTACTTAGTAAAACAATACTCCATTAAGATATTGCATTCAAGTTGGAATCAGTATTTGCGGCACATACCGGATATGAACTTAAACATACGAGGTCGACAGTAAATAGCTGTGTGTGGTGTCGCATTGTCATGTCGGAATTAAACGCCTGGAACATTACAGTCAATTCATTGGGTTCTGTGAAGGATTTACTGTCTAGTGATAGAGTTGAGTAATGGGTTTACTGTGAAATTATTGCATTGCGTGAAGGGTTTACTGTCCAGTGGTTGGTTTGTGTGAAGGGTTTCCAGTCAAGTGATTGGGATGAGTGAAGGGTTTACTGTTCGGTGATTTGGTTGTGTGAAGGGCTTACATTCGAGTGATTGGGTTTAGTGGTCGTTCATATCTTGGTCGACATTAACAACTGTGTGTCGCATTGTCATGTTTGAATTGAAGGCCTGGAACATTACAGTCCATTGATTGGGTTTCCAGTCAAGTGAAGGATTTACTGTTCTGATTTGTTGTGTGATAGAGTTGAGTAGTGATTGGGTTTAGTGGTCGTTCATATCTTGGTCGACATTAACAACTGTGTGTCGCATTACTGTGAAATTATTGGATTGCGTGAAGGGTTTACTGTCCAGTGGTTGGTTTTGTGAAGGGTTTCCAGTCAAGTGATTGGGATGAGTGAAGGGTTTACTGTTCGGTGATTTGGTTGTGTGAAGGGCTTACATTCGAGTGATTGGGTTTAGTGGAAGGTCTACTGACAAGTGATTGGGTTGTGTGAAGGGTTTACTGTTTAGTGATTGGGTTGTGTGAAGGGTTTACCGTTTAGTGATTGGGTTGAGTGAAGGGTTTACTGTTTAGTGATTTGGTGGTGTGAAGGGTTTACTGTCTAGTGATTGGGTAGTGTAAATGGTTTACTGCCTAGTGATTGGCTATGTGAAGGGTTTACTGTTTAGTGATTGGGTGGTGTGAAGGGTTTATTGTCTAGTGACTGGGTTGTGTGAAGGGTTTACAGTTTGGTGATTGGTTGTGTGAAGGGTTTACTGTCCAGTGATTGGGTTCTGTGAAGTTTTACTGTCTAGTAATAGGGTGGTGTGAACGGTTTACAGTTTAGCGATTGAGTTGTGTGAATGGTTTACTGTCTAATGACTGGTTGTGTGAAGGGTTTACTGACAAGTGATTGGGTTGTGTGAAGGGTTCACTGTTTAGTGATTGGGTTGTGTGAGGGGTTTACTGTTTAGTGACTGGGTGGTGTGAATGGTTTACAGTTTAGTGGTTGGGTTGTGTGAAGGGTTTACTGTTTAGTGATCGGCTATGTGAAGGGTTTACTGTTTAATGATTGGCTATGTGAAGGGTTTACTGTCTAGTAATTGGTTGTGTGAAGGGTTTACTCTCTAGTGATTGGTTGTGTGAAGGGTTTACTGTTAAATGATTGGGTTGTGTGAAGGGTTTACTGTCTAGTGACTGGGTGGTGTGAATGGTTTACAGTTTAGTGATTGAGTTGTGTGAGTGTTTACTGTTAAGTGATTGGGTTGTGTAAATGGTTTACTGTCTAGTAATTAGTTGTGTGAAGGGTTTACTCTCTAGTGATTGGTTGTGTGAAGGGTTTACTGCTCAGGGATTGTGTTGTGTGAAGGGTTTACTGTCTAGTAATTGGTTGTGTGAATGGTTTACTGTTTAGTATTTGGGTTGTGTGAAGGGTTTACTGTCTAGTGATTGGGTTGTGTAAATGGTTTACTGTCTTGTAATTAGGTTGTGTGAAGGGTTTACTGTCTAGTGATTGGGTTGTGTAAATGGTTTACTGTCTTGTAATTAGGTTGTGTGAAGGGTTTACTCTCTAGTGATTGGTTGTGTGAAGGGTTTACTGCTCATTTTAAATATCATATTGTAACAAAGACAAGGAACAGCGAACAAGTTTCTCTGTACAGCTTTAGGTGTATGGGATACTGTTCATACGTGTGCATATTGACGGATATATTCCTCGACCAAGGTAACTGCCAGATATCATACTTATAACCTTTTTGGATGTAACTGAAATATTTGTATTTTGTATCATACCTATCAGTTATTCTAAAGTGCTGTTATTTTATCAAATGTATTTAGTAAAGCTTGCACCTCAAATAACTAGATAATGGTATCTATGATTTTTGATAAAATAACACTTTCATTCGATCACATTTAAAAAATATTATATTATTAGTCTTTTTTTGTACCGAACCACAGGAAGATGCGTACAGCAGATTGTTAGTTTCAGTCTTACTTACGAGAACATACACACAGTAATCTTTATATCTGTGAATAGAACTATGAACTAGCAGAACAGAAAATGTAATTGAAATAGTAAATCATTAAGTACAGTGATAATTTATCTGAGATTTCACATGTTATTGACTTAAACTCAAACTCTTTATTCTCCAAAGTGCTGCTTCCAATGATAACTACTTTCGTTTAAAAACAAATTTACTTTAAGTTTCCATTTTTTCAGTAATGAGAGAAGACATTCAAAGATGTTTGTAAATTCTTGGATTTTCAGTGGACAGTGCGGCATCATCTGCCAAGAAGAATATAATATAATGATGTAAGATGTCAATATTGTTAATAATGCGATTCATATTTAAAACCATTACAGCTACTGTCAAGAGGTGTTGTTCAAGGTATTGTTGTTGTTTAGGTATATGGGGCGAGAGATGTCCAGGGGCGAGAGATATGTCCACCTTCTAGCGGTAATTCATCTGATACGGTATTTTCAATCATTACCCAATATTTTATGTTGTGATACGTATTTCTTCTTTGATTGGAAAATCTCCCATCTATCCCAGTTTTTGTTAGTTTATGCCACAACCCAATTCTCCATACTTTATCTGAATGATTTAGTGAAATCTTCCAATGCCGTATATAGTTTCTTTTCACAAATTCATCAAAACAGGTCAAAAGCGCGGGCTATTTGAAACGACGGGATCACGTGACTTGTCAAGCGCGCTCAATTCAAACTGGGCTGACAGGTGCTGTCTGTCTATTCAAAAGCAGGCTCTGAGGACCCGTACTATGCTACTAATGTCTGTGAGAACAACAGCCTCCGTGGTCTAGTAGACAAACGTTCGTTGGTTGGTTGGTTGGTTGTTTAACGCCGCACTCAGCAATATTTCAGCTATATGGCGGCGGTCTGTATATAATCGAGTCAGGACTAAACACTCCAGTGATCGACATCATGAGCATCGATCTGCCCAATTGGGAACCGATGACATTTCAGCAAAGTCAGCGAGCCTGACCACCCGATCCCGTCAGTCGCCTCTTAACGACAAGCATGGGTTGCTGAAGACAAATTCTAACCCGGATCCGCACGGATTTATTGGGGCGGAGGGGTAGCCTTGTGGTTAAAGCGTTCGCTCGTCACGCTGAAGACCCGGGTTGGATTCCCCACATGGGTACAATGTGTGAAGCCCATTTCTGTTGTCCCCCGCCGTTATATTGCTGGAATATTGCTAAAAATGGCGTAAAACTAAACTCACGCACTCACGGATCTATTGGCAAGCAGTGAGTGAGTTTTTAACGCCACTGAGGACCATAAAACTGTCAAATCACAGTGGGTCGGCTGTGATCTGAGAGGTAACTGCTTCCTTGAAATCTATAAACACAGAATGTTGGTGGCAAACCTACAAAAACAAAAGACACAGTCAGCAACAGACACACGCCCACGCACGCGCACAAAGTAACTGAGTATTTTGATACCACTTTCAACAATATTTCTGGAGATTAAACCACTGCGCTTACCCATCATACAGTATTGCTGACAGGTGTTTTAACAAAAAAACAGACATTAATGTAACCACATGTTTTATTACGTTTTAACGTACATGTGCATGTTTGTGTCTAACGACAGACACAGACATTCCGGCTGTTACAGTAGCCTCCACTGTAGCCTTTCAACAAACAATGAGCAGCACAGGCGGCGCTGCCAATGGAATTACCCCCTATGTTCAGTTGAGCCAGAATGTCGCATGTCACACGTTTCTCTGAAAAAAAACATGAATGATCAAATTGTATGTTTGGCTGACTGACTGACTGAGTTTTTGGTTTTACGCCGCTTTTAACAATATTCCAGCAATATCACGGCGGGGGACACCAGAAATGGGCTTAACACAATGTGCCCATGTGGGGAATCGAACCCGGGTCTTCGGCGTGACGAGCCAACGCTTTAACCACTAGGCTACCCCACCGCCCCTGTATGTTTGGTGTGTCGTACATCCGTTGAATGAACATTTATGAAAATTGTATGAAAGTTGCCACATTGTAGATGAATTCCACTACGCTTTTAAATATATTTCTTATTTCAAATGTTTATATTTCAATGAATCAAGAGAAACGTATGTTCCAACAAACAGATCAAAAAGACCAAATACGTTCAACAGTTACATTTCTTTCAATCAAAATTAAAATTGCAGTTACTTCCGGTTAACCACTGTCTGCTGCCATGTATATAAGTTACCGTTTTAACTCCATTTGCCGATTCACTAACTTCTTTGAGAGGCATTTTAGAAGTTGTATTGATGAAGGAAAACCAAGTTCTATGGATAGTCAACTTCTTTATTGCAATGAGTGCGACGTTTCGGTGTAGATACTAACACCGTTATCAAGCAAGTGCTACAAAGAGTTGAAAAGGAGAATATATACATAGCTTCATAGTGAGTATGTACAATTGACAAGGTTGATATACATTGGATTGCTAATTAGCGATTTGAGCAGAGTAGGTTGATGTACAGAGTGATCATTTGTATCACTTGCTTAATAACGATGTTAGTACCTGCACAGATTCTGTCCAATAACCTTGGCACGCTTAAAATAGCTGTGGAATTCCTTGCTTTCATCATGTGTCTTGACATGCATCACAACAAATAAACATGTGCAAAAGTACACAGTAATTTTAATAATAATAATAATAATAATGTACTTCTATAGCGCCGAGTTCCAGCTAGGCTGCTCACAGGCGCTTGTGCAGTTCAGTCTATTTCATTTCAAATAGATGTGTCTTTAAATGTTTTCGAAAAGTTTGTAGACTTGGGGCGGAATTTAGCGACATTTTCTATCATGGAGAGCTTCCACATTAAATTATCATTATTTTTACTATTATCAAACCTAGTATTCCGAAAATATCACTTCGAGGGTCACCAATAACATGATGTACACTTTGTGTGATCCTTGTGTTTTTAGTTTGTTTAACGGTACAATCAGTAATATTCTAGGCGGCTTGTAAACAATAAACTGAAATTGTTATATTGATGTATTCGTCATAATGTCTCACCTATTCTGGCGGCTTCAACTGAGCTGGCACCGAGAAGGAGCAGTATCGCGGAGAGGGCGAAGATTTGCATCTGAAAAAAACATGACGTCATTATGAGACAGCACCACACTTCATACTTTTCTGAATGTCCTTGCATACTGGTCATATAACGTATTGACAAAATCTAGATCAGCTGGTAACAAAAAATCACCAATTAACAATAATGTTAGGCAAAGAAATGCAATTCATTAGCCGACAGTTTGCCCTGGGATCATTTTTCAATCCGTCAGCTTCACAAGGATAAGTACCGTCCGGATTAACCAAGGTTCGCTGTACAAGATAATTGATTCCAAATTCAAATTCCGGAGTAACCAGTTTTTTGATAACCTACTGTTTTAAAAACACATTCGGTAAGGTCGTAATCTCGCAGTGGTATGTCCTTTCTAAATAGCTATAGCTGTGAAGGTCCGGGTTAGAATATTGGCCTTCAGTTACCCATGCTTGTCGTAAGAGGCGACTAACGGGATCGGGTGGTCAGGCTCGCTGACAGATTGACACATGTCATCGGTTCCCAATTGCGCAGATCGATGCTCATGTTGTTGATCACTGGATTGTCTGGTCCAGACTCGATTATTTACAGACCGCCACCATATTGCTTGAATATTGCTGTGCGGAGTAAAACTAAACTCACTCACTCACTAAATAACTAAATAGATCTTACCCAGGTAACAGCTCGAGAGCAAGATCTTATCTTTTTCTGTTTCATTAATCCCACGTTTCAAGCACACAGCCACATTTTTATCAAGTGTCTACTTGAAAGACCATAGGTAGAATGAAAGATTAAACATTATATCTATTGTTGACACAAACTATCGTTCCATTTATATTTTCCTAAAGACAGTACATTCGAAACATATAAAAAAGGAAATAGATACTCATCTTCAACATGAGACTTTGATAATTGACAAACTTCTAGTTGTTTAGGAATCTCAGACAACAGTAATAGCAATATCTAGATACTAGATACTAAATAGAAAATGAACATTATTATCAAAAAATATCCCAATAATTTCAAACATACAGAGGTTAATGACAAGGCAAACATAAATAGTGTAAATTTTGAATTTACCTGAATTACTTGATTGACAGACACGTGATGTCACAGGAAGGGATTGTCTGGTAAAAGTCTTTCGTTATTGAATACCAACAGTAAATTTGGAGATATTTCGTCTGGAAAACCCAAACTTAACACACATCACTATTTAGAATGGTTAATCATAGCTCATAGGAAAATACATTGTGATTTTGAATATATAATTGGCATATCACGGAACCAGTTTGACCTTGTATGCTCCCGTGACCCGGAAACAGTAGTCGATCAACACTCCACATGCAAGTTTCTCAGTATATTTTGTTTGAACTTTTGTTGAAATTAGGACCATCACTTTATGCATACACTGAATATGCAGATAAGAAATATATAACTGTGAGGCATGTTGATGCTAGTTTGTTTGGGTTTTTTCACTTTGACCTACGGAACAACGTTTACAAACATCGGCCTGAACGACAGGTGCGCGGAAATGGGAGTGACAAAATTTGTGTTCAAAATAACATTCGTGCTTTTCTTATTGTGACAAAATTTTAGCAACTGCATGATGCATATGTATTATATTACATACTAAAATGTAGTATCAATCATAGTTTCACATGATATTAGGGATGATTTAATAAATTGTGCGTATTACATGTATGCCAAATTGATACGTCTCACTTCAGAACAATTTGAATTTCACATATACAGTATCAATTTATGCAATAAAATAAAATCTTTCACACCTGGTTACAACTTTAAACATTTTCATATATTTTCATATGTTAATTGTTATTAATAATATGATAAGTATTTTCTCTCCCAAATGGCCATGGTAAAGACACTAAGGATCTATCAATGCATTAGCAAAGTGTAAATAACCATTTTCAGTTATTGTCTTTCAGTGATGTGAAAAACTAACAATTTTACATAATTATTCAATACAACTATACCATAAAATATACAGATAGATGTTTCATATTATTTTGTTTCTGTACACTATCTTGCTAAAATATACCTCAAATACAGATGGGTGATGAACTATTTTTGTTTTCAACAGTAACTCTTTGTTTTGTGTATTATTTTCAATCACAAATAACTAGCGTCATTTATGCACAGTATATTTATCAGAAAATGTTATCATTTTATGAAAACAGAGATGATATACATGTAATAAATTATATGGTCTCTGATGAAAGTCAACAGGCCTCATATTCTGTTAGAAGTAAAGTAAATAGAAATTATTTTACCTTAGCATCTTTTCCTGGGTTTTGGAGCAATGAAATAATATAAAATTAGTCCTACTAAACTTTCAAGGATTGTTGCTGTTTGCTGAAGTGTCTGGTAGTGATATACATGTACACCTATTACCTACAGTATGTAAAATTGCATCTGCCATCATAAAACAAGAAATGTCAAGAACAGTCTTCTTTGATTAAAAAATGCCGAAGACATTTGATATTGTTGTTGCCACATATATATGACAATAAAAAATCCAAATTGAAATCTCAAAGAATTAGCTCCAAACAGGACAACAAAATATCATTTTTTGCAGAGCACGATTTAGGGAAAGGAAACCTATTTGCCCCTGGTGCCATCTTACATGCCACATTGACACAAGTCATCGGCTCCTGCTGCTGATCACTGGATTGTCTGGTCCACACTCGATTATTTACAGACAGCCGCCATATAGCTGGAATATTGCTGAGTGCGGCGTTAAACTAAACTCACTCACTCACTGATTCACAGCATCATTACAACAAAATTACTCTGGGTCTGGTATGATAATTATATATGACTTCATAAAATGTCATGACATGAAAAAAGGATCACACTTTCAATCACTGTCAGTGTGATCATTGCTCCAAGCCCGTTTGGGTCATCAGTCTGTTTCCCACATGAAGTCTGTTTTTGACAGCAAAATATATGAACATGCACAGTTTGCAAGTAGGTATAAATATGAGGTTACATTTTGCAGTTTTAGGTTGCACAAGTGCAATTTCTAAATGCTAAATCGAGCCATGTATTGGGTCACTTGACCAGTATCTTTTTTGTGAAAAATGGACACATTAGGTCGGTAGAAATAAGACTTTGAAAGCTCTGCTTTTTGAGGCCACAGAATTATTTCAATTTTGCTCCTACTTGGAGAACAAAAGATGTGCTATTTAGCTGTTTTTATGTCGAAAATAGATACCTTTTTTGAATGAAATGCATTCAGGCAGAGGATGACTATTTTGTTTATTCCGTCATTCCAATTTTTAAGGAAATTTACTTTACGTACATTCTTACACTAAATCTGCTTTCATCCGTTTCTGTGAAAGGAAACAGATTTCATGCATGACTTCTTCAATCATCAGAATTGTCCTTCTTCTGACGATGGACACATAACAATACTATGTTATTGTTATGACATACTGACATTTTATAATATACTTCCCGTGTCAAAACATTATTCGAAAATCATCGACCGCAAAATCCATTTCTGAAAATAAAGATCTACTGTATGCACGGGCGACAATATTTAGGGGGAAAATGTATAGCACTTGTAAGCAAAAAATTTTTCTGTTGAAAACAGCTAACAATAACTAATTGAAGGTGATAAAAAAGTTAATTCTACTATATATTTTGGATTTTACGGAAATTTGAATCAATTTAGAAAATGCATCAATGGTCGTTTTCCAACTCGTGCATATTTTACCTCGAGATCCATGTGTGCTATGCCGTACGTGCTTCCGGTTTCATCAAGGGAGGGCACAATTACAAATATTGTGATTATTTTTCATGATCTGCATTATTTAGGTATTGAATCGTTTTCTTCAATTCAGATTCTGCTTATGAACGCTTATTTTCAAACATCCTTCGTGTCTTGTCACCTAAAAATCTGAGAGTTTGGCCACGCCCTTACGCGTCACCTACGGCTGTCAACAATGTCAATGTCGGAAGGTTTATGAAACAAAATCATTATAAACTCGATAAATGTGATATATTTTTACAATAATATTTACCTATCAGACCATGTAATTAATTCCAGTTGGATACGTCATGAGTGGTCAGTTAGCCCTGAGCGAGGATTGTTAATTTAGGTCACCGACACCGTCGTTTTTCTGCCTTAGATTTATCATCGATAAGTATCAAATGTTGTATCGTAGAAAAGAAATACAGTTCGCTATCCCCCTATGTATAGTGTAATAAAGTACACATTTGCCCTGAACTATTATAGTCTGAGTGCTTAAACGTTATAATAGTTGAGGGCAAAGTGTACTTTATTACACTATGCATGGGGGCAGAGCGAACTGTATTTTTCAATATTCAACTCCATTGTTGATGAAACATATCTACGTGCTTTTGTCGAAAAATAGCAAAAGAAATATTTTCATTCCAAAATTCGTTATTCAAACATACATAGCCAAACCTCAAGAAAAAGTATTCTTCATATCGTGGTCCAAGTTGTACAGTCAATGTTTTCTGATTGGACAGCATATTGTTTGACCTCTTGGTAAAATACATTCACCCATTCCATACAACCGACACCAGTTCCTTATATAGCGAACATCTAATTGTATTTGAATGGGAATCCTTACAAATGTTATTGGCAGGTTAATGTATTTGTTCAGTGACCTCAAACCTCTGAAATATTCATACTTCGAGACAATACAAGTTCATTCGCTAAATGTGTAAGTCGAAACGTTTTAAAACAGCTTAGGTAGCACCGGTTCCAGTTAAATAATCCAGGTAGTGCTAAATATCGCTAAAAAGCGGCGTAAAACTATACTCACTCACTCACTCTGCGAACAAAAGCATCAATACTTCTGGTATATCACTATGCTCGTAATATCAGCGTATTTCCTGCATATTAGTAAAAGAGGAAGACAACAATGGGTTGTAAATACAACCTTGCTTTACACCTACAGGGAATTAAAAAATATACCTTTTATGTTCATTATATTAGTAGTTCTTGTATGCTTTAAACCTACCATAAATAATTTGCAAAATTCAGAGCAAGTTCTTGTTTTACTCGACATATGCGAGACATTCGAGACAACGACGCATCGACATCGAGACTGATCAAGGAACTGTATCATACTTCAATCATAGATATCTATTCGTCAATAAAGATTACAATTACAACTGGATTGAAAGGCATCTACAAAATCAGTTACACAACTGGTTCAAATTGTACTGTACTTTTACAATTGGTTCAGTGAGCTGGGAAAGGTTATAGCGATATATGATACTTACGTTTGTGTCGTACAGCGGCAACGATGCTTCGTGATACTCAGTGATTGTGCAGTACTCGCTTTTATACAGACAAAGTGATGAGTACATCATAGATGGTGACACAAGATATTGACACAATAACAGGAACTCTCATGATAAACGCATGCATAACCGGATGTTAACAACATAGGCATCAATCACGTCTTCAGGACGCAATGATGTTTGGAACGATGCAATGGTCCCAGAGGCGGAGAACATGATTTATCTGTGATCACCATCATATCGGCTACGCAGTCATTTTACACATCACCCAGTGAAGGGAAATATTGATAAATCAGCAAAAATAAATGCAATATTCTCACAACTCTTCACATAATTATCCATTGCATTTTAGATTTAAATTAAACAAATTCTGAGGGTTTTTTCGTGCCACACACATAGTTTATGGGGATGCGTGAATCCCCCTTTAATTTGCCCATCAAACAGCATAATTATTAAAGTTTAGGAACCAAATATAATTAAATAAATCTTTATATATTTTGTGTGAGGAAGATTTCAGGGTATGCTAGTATGTAGATTTCGGTATGCTAAGTTAAATCTAAAAACTTTAAATGCTTTCATACATTGTATACATTTTCTTAGTTCATTACACGTGTGACGGGAAGTTTTAATCAAGTTGTGGTAGAGCCTAAAATACAGTATCTTCTAATTTCAACACTGTAGCTTGTAATTTCAAGAAAAATATGTACAGAAGAACAAAATACACGTACAGGATTTCGTACTACATGTAAAAGGCTTACGTGCATAGAGGCAGTTGCCAAATAGTTTTCTTGGTAAAACCTGTTTTCCAGACCAGTTTTTAATAGGAACATCTTTTCTTAAATATACCAGCCATACCACTCTAACCGTCGACACCTCCCACTGAATATTTAGAGAATAACCAACGAGGTACGAGTGATTACGGGAAATATGTTAATTTCACTCTTGACATATTTCCCGTAATCACTCGTACCTCGATTAGCAATTTGATGCATGATTTCACTTGAACATTAATTTCACTCGGGACATAATTTCCGTAATCACTCGTACCTCGTGGGTCATTCTGTTTATTTCCCATTCTGTAACTAAACCGAGAAACCAGTACTTATGAACGCAAAGCCGCATCTTCTTATGTGTTTACAACTAAATCAGCTGATCTGTATTAATGCGCAGATGAAGCCAAACTGCTGAAGCTTAATGGAATCGCATTCGAACTATAATATAATAGAAAACGGTATGGAAAACAACACAATTCAACAGTCTCCAAATTCGTTTGATGACGACTTTATTAACCACACCACCTTGTAATGTTTAAGTTTATTTTCTACGAGTACAATCACATATTCAATATTTAGTCGCAGATCGCAAATGTGTCAATCTAGCCTACTTGTGTCAGAAGGTGGGACTTACGATCACCTTAGCTCAACGGCAACCTGTAATCCCAGCAGTTATTACAAAGCTGTATGTTTCGGCTAACATCAGTGGTGCGCACGCACAGTACGCTGGCAAAGCTGCATGTTCTCCTGGACTGCAAGAAAACAGAAACAGGACAGTTTCCTTCAATGTTTTAATAATTGATATGGCAAATCATCTGTTTTGGCTAAACATGATACCTGTTACAATTAGGAGCTTGAGTGAGGATCAGACAGCATGGCGTTAAATGTGATGAGACAAAAAATGGTTATTATGTGGAATAACTGTCTGTACCCAAAGTAGCATACCCTTTGTCAGTCGCCGTATCCGTTGCAGAGGAAACAGTCGCCGTTCTTGGCGCAAAGCTGTTTCCAACTCCCGCAGATTTTAAACAAATGGTATACATGCCTGTGTCCGTCGCATTAAGTCCCAAACGTGCTCCAGGGGTCAGGTCTGGACCCATGGTGAGTCACTGCATTATTCCTTATGAAAGTTGTCAGCCTGGGTGCCGTTGTACAAAACAACCTTAGCGTTTAGACTACCTTAAGCCTATGTTAAGGTATGGGAGTTACTGTCACCTTAGCCCTAAGATTGCTTTGTACAACGGCACCCTGGAGTTGTCATCCATGAATACAGATCTTATAGCAAGAGGATGAGTATCAAATGAGGGACAACCACTTAATCCAGCACTTCCTGGATATACTGATCACCCGTCAAAATCCCACGTATTGTCACCAAGTAAAGTTTGCAGTCATGAGAGACACATCCCCGCACCATTACGGAATCTCCACCAAAGGCAACAGTTGGTTGAATAGGTTTTTGTGCTGTAGCTGCTGTAGTTCGCTGCCTCCGTGCATCAGTCACATGAAGAAGGAATCTACCTTCATCAGACCAATGTATTCCTCAGATTCCAGCGTCAAAAGTGCTTTTTGTTGATGATCGCTCAGTAGAGGATTTTTGGTTATCCTTCTAGAGTTGTATCCTGCTCTTCAGACTTTTCTCGTAGAAGCAGTGGTGCTTCAGAACAGTGCTTGCGGCGAACGGTTGTCGTCGAGTGAGCCTCTATACTGCCTTGTCTAACGATCTGACCCAGAACGTAGGGGAATCCTTCACCTCATTGATTTCCCTGTACATTCTGACTAAACGACTGACATTCATTCCCCGAGCAATTGCTTTGAAGGATATTGGACATACTGGAGTTATGCATACACATAATCTACCATATCTGGCCATCTGATAACCTTTTCGTACCATAGTGGAAGAAAACTTATCGAACAGAGTGTGTTTAGGGGACACTTTACTCCAAGTACACTTGCAAGAATTTCGTAAATACACAGTATTATCATACACAAGCTGAATTTAAATATAGTTCTGTCAGAGGTCAACATATACTTCGTTTCAAAAGTGTAGACTCACTTAAAACAATTTACACTAGTGAGCCTAAACTTTTGAAACGAAGTATATTTAGGGGTGCTTAAAGGTCACATGCAACCAAAAAATCAAACATAATTAAAACACAATTATCACTTATTCATGACATATAATATACATTGCTGGTTATGAAAAAACATATAAACAAAATGATAAGCGCACAATCGCAAATCAAAGTGCAATATTGTGTACTTGAGTTTACTTCCCAAGAAACGAAGCAGCCGGGATACCGAACCCAGTCAGAGCGGGTGGGTGTGCACTCAAGTGTAACGGCTGGTTCATTTGCAGATGCCCTCACGGCTCATTGTGTGTGTATATATAGAGACGTTGGGTTTTGTAAATACATGCTCATTTTTTGTGTAGAACATTTTACAATCAACAGACATCATAACATGTCATGTGTACAAGTATCACACCTCTGCCTGTCTGTGTAATTACATAATGTGACAGAGACCGAACTCGGGCCATAAATCAATGCATTTTGTTTATGGTGTATAGCCTGATTGGTGTTAAGTTCAAATTGCATGTGGTCAGTGATAGCAGCTGTGTATTGAATATTGTCATTAGCAGACAGGCAGGCAGACACACAGGTGTCAATAAAACAAGACATTGAGTTTTGTCTGTGACAACGACATATCTATATCACAGTTAGAAATTCTGTCAACGCTTAATAATGACATTGCTTTCAAGTATCGAACTGAGAAAGTGACTCGGTAAGAAGAACGTGTGGTGAAATAGACAAATGAAATTATATAAACAGTTAATCTACTGTCATAACATATAAAAAGCTCGCGCCTGTGAGATATCAACAAAACATTAGAAAAATAGCTCACACCAAAGCCTTCACCGGGTATTCACCGGACAACCCGCTTCCAAGCTGCGCGAACCTATTTCACTGCGCACGTGCTATGAGTGCAGCCCAGCTGTTGAAACCAGTTAGTGAAAGGTTTGAACTCCGATTTCGCGCGGTTTTTTTCATCGCGTTATTTTTCAACTTTATAAGTTGAATTTGCATTTTTGACGATTTGTTTCGGTAAGTCCATACCGAAAGGTATCAGAATCTGCAAAGTTGTGTTTTAGGTTGTATGTGACCTTGCATGTGATTTTTCAAGGTGTATAGTTCGATGCAGCTAGTTTTTTTACTTGTGTTGAGTTTAGAACTGACACCACCGCAAATTATTTACTTCCCATGTTATAAGAACATCAGAAGAAGCGGTCATCGATCAAAAATCGATGCTCCATTTTGCTCCTTTGGTCAGTCTTTGAGTCAATGTCCATATATTAATGTCACCTCTCTGTATGTCCAAATAATTACGATATTTCAACGCGTTTCAACTTGAAGCCCTTGGTGATGCGGACAGTGTAAGTTGATCACTTAGGTGTAACGCATGTAGTATGAGGTGCTGACAATGCAAGGGTCATAGTAAATCTGGGATTCGAACACACGCGCATAACTCAGGGAGGCAACTGTTTATAACCAACCAATTACCAAAACACGGCCGACCAGTAAACAGTCAGGTCCTGGTTCCCGAGGATGTTTGAGGACTAAACTACTACTATTAACTATATATTAATAATAATATTGCATATTTATAATGCACATATCCACGCTCGTAAGCATGCTCTTGGCGCTATATTGCATTACTAAACCGGATAACCCAAGGTGTCTGTGAGGTGCTTGATGGTTATTAGTCACTTATCCCACCGGGTATATTTGAACTTATCATAGATATTATCAAACAATTCGATAGTGATGAGATTTGTTTATCTGGCGATTGGAACTTAGTTCTAAATCAAAGACAAGCCACATATAACTATAAAAACATCGGAAATTATTGAAATGTTTGATCTCAAAGACCCATGGCGGGAGATGAATTATGAAACAAAAAGATATACATGGCGCCAGCCGACTCCTTTAAAACAAGCACGACTAGATTGTTTTCTTATTTCCCGTAATCTGATGCCCTCAGTTGATACTGGCGAAATTCATCCAAGCATCAACTCTGACCACTCGCTTATTGAATTAACGCTCAGGCTTTCGACCATCGCACATGGAAAAGGTTTTTGGAAATTTAATAACTCTCTCCTAACTGATAGAAAATACATAGAACTTATAAAAGACACCATCAAATCCACCCTTGATCAATATAAGACTAGATTGTCAGGACGGCATCAGTACATATTCGATTGATGATCAGTTACTGTGGGAAAAATTATTATTAATGACGAGAGGCAAACTATTTAT